GTGGGGGGGCATTGCCCCCCCCCAGGGCCCCCCCCAGCTACGGGCCTGAAGGGTAGGCAATTTAACATTAATCAATTGTTCGCAGTCGTGAGATTTGTCCCTCGGGTTAACAGCGTGTAATGGCCCTTGGGAGCTATTGTTTCCGTCACTATGTGTATTGTCACTCGGGTTAACCGCATGTAATGACCCTTGGGGGCTATTGTTTCTGTCACTATGCGTATTGTGGATTACCTCTTCATGCATCAAAAATTCCATAGAAAATAATTTAGATTTGAGAACCATATTTTCATCATTAATTTTGCAAATTAACTCATCTTGGCGTCGAATAACAACCTCCAAATTATTTTGTTTTGCTTTTAGAGTTTTAATTTCTAACTTGATCTCCTCTAAGGGAGAGGCGCTGACAAGTCGAGACTCTAAAACTGCCATATCAAGTTTTATTCCCTCCAATTCTGCTTTGGTAACGTTGCTACCACAAGTACAATTACAACAACATACCTTGAAACCATTGAGGCGTTCATTCTTGTTTGCACAAACTTTTAATTTGCAGTCGATTTTACCGCTAGTTCTTTAGATTTTAGATCGTTATCTTGAGATTTGACATCGTGTACACTTTGTGTCGTTTTATCCGCTGTATTTGAAATTATCTTATCAGTTAATGCATCCTCAGTACACGAGTCGTTTAGAGCAATAACTTCAGATGGCATTTCATTGTTTTCGTCAATTTCATACGTGTTGACTAGGCTTTGGAATAACAACTCCAAGTAGCGTTCTTCATTATCGACTTGAATTACAATCTTCTTGGAGCTTACGCCATACCATTTAATTAAGAAGTCCGATTGTTCGGAACGAAAGACTTTCGCCTCGCCACCAGGGGACGTCCAAGAGCCGGCATGTAGCTTCAAATGTTGTTCTACAAAGCTCTTCAATTCAAGCAAAGACCCACTCCAACGATATTAGGCTTTCAAAGTATATTAATATGGACGACATGGAAGGCAAAGTCAAAGGGTTTTTTGTTTCATAAATATTAATGAACTTCGAAGTTAAGTTCCCTGTAACTAAATTCGTTTCAACACGTTTTCAGTGCACTTTAAGCTGGTTTTCCACTTCAAGCGTATCCTAGCGTAGCGTATTTTTTTGTTTCCTGACCACTAGAGTGGAACTAATGACTTCGACACAAAAGAAAATGCTACGATACGGTCGAGATGAAAATCGGCCTTTACTTGTTTGTTTACTTTGTTAGGTCCATCGGTACGTATGTTCAAGAAAAAATAATTATATTGAAAATCAAAGTGCAAGTTTATATTTACTGTTTCTGTGTTTAATTAAATCTGGTAGTTATCCAGACCATTTTGTGCTTTCTAATTTTAAAATGGTTATTTAATTTTATTAGTAAGTATGACCAGACACAGAATCAGTTTGTTTATATATACTGAACGCTCGGAACTCAAAACTCAAGTCCTTTTCATATATTCACAATTCAAATTGCAATGTTTTAATTTAATAAATATTCAATAATTGATGTATTTTAATAATTGTAGTATACATTATATACTGTATAGTGTTATTGGCTGAAAGCCTAATGCTTACAATAATTGAGTGTGTAGGTACCTATGCAAATTTTCCAGCACATACACACTCCTATGTTTATCTGCATGTGTCTTTTTTTTACCCAGTAATGAAGCTAGCCATAGCAACTGATCATGCTATGCAAATTTTTAATGATTTGTATTAAAATTTTAGAAATCTTTTCTCTTATTAGCATAGCATGTATGTATTGCATTGTCTGTATGCATTAGCATAGCATGACCAGTTGCCATGGCCAGCTTTGTGAAAGAAAACTATTGTGTGTGTAAAGACAAACTCTACCTCATATCAAAATCAGAACTTTGGGGTAATATATAGTAGAATAATTCCTCAAGTCTCATCAATACTTGATCATATAAAACTTCTAACATCTTTATTATTCTGAAATATATTCCCAATTACTCAGATTTAATGCCGACATAATTTGGAGCATAATTTCCTGCATTAAGCAGTGAGCATTCTGCCAGCCAAAAATTGAGTTACAAGCAGAATTTTGAGAAACGTTTGTGCAAAATCAAGAAACACAATGCTTAACAGACAGGATTTCTATAATCAAAGCCGGAGTTAATTTTAAGCATACATTTTCATTTAGTAGAGCATTGCTGGCAGGCTGAATTTGCTATTCAATAAGCATTATTTATCCAAGTCTAACCAACAATTTGTCAACAAGTTGCGTTTGCACGAAGGTTGTGGCAAGGCAAGCTTGTCAACATTAGTTATAATAATGCCAATATTTTGTCAAGTCGCTACAAGCTTGTCACTCACAACTTGTTAACAAATTGTTGAATTGCAAGACAATAACAAGTTACTGGAACAAGCTTGTAGCCAGGGACGTAGCAACCAGAGAATGTGGGAGGGTGACCCCAACTGTGAAACTCCAGATGGCAAAAATAATGATCAGGTAAAATTCAAGTTAAAATTTTGACAATTTCAGGTAAAATTTGCATATTAAAGTAATTACTTTTGTGAAACGATAACCATTTTTGTAAAATACAATCAATTTACATCCAATTTGTTTTCAAATTTGTTTTAGAAAATGCCAGAAATGCAGTCCTAGAGTAATTTTTCAAAAATGTAAAAATGTACAAGCTTTATTATAATTATTATGCTTCAGGTAAATTTTTAACATTGAAATTCAAATTCAAATTCAAATCCTCCAACATCCTCCCCCCAACTTCAGATGCTTCACTACGTCCCAGCTTGTAGCAAGGCAGCAATTTGGTCATAAGTCTGTCGCAGGCTTGTAACAACTTGTGTGTTCTTACATGTGTAATAGACCTTATGCATGACGACATCAGAAGCCTTGATGCCCACGAGGAATGTTGGTCTTAGTAGTCATTGTCCAGGAAAGTTAAACAATTAAAAATGGTCAACATTGAAATTTTCCCAAGCAATGACTACTAAGACCAGCATTCCCCACAGGCATCAAGTCTTGGGATGTCATTGTGCATAAAGTCTATTCACTACCACATTCTAATTTAGTTGATAATATTCTTGCAGCGTAGGAGGGTCAACACCAAAATAAGAACTTGTAGTTGAGCCATAAAAACAAGTTAATGCATTTCGCAAAAGGGCACACACAGAATACATCTTCCCAACAGCACTCAATCCAATTTTCAAATTCTTCTTAAAATCCATAAACTTAAAATAATTAATAATGTCACCAGTTGGTTGATCCAGTTGGTCAAGAAGGCCGGACATTCTTAACATCCCGGCATCATGTCGTTTTCCTTCTAAAAACAAAAGCACATATATTAAGTATATAAAGTATAAGTACTATAAAATATATAAGTGTATGCAAAAATTATTAAATCCATACACTATAAGAATATACTGTATGGTTAGACACTGTAGGAAATAAGTAATGCATTACACTATATTATTTAATATAAAATGTACCTATTGGACCATAAAGATTTGCAATAAGGCCATTAGGTGCCACAACAGATTGAAACTTGATGGCATGGATACGTTTATGGCCATTATACATGACGCGCTGGTTTTCTCCAGGGCGACAGATAGGTCTTACTGTGACATCGACAAATCCCCAACAGTTCTCCAAAGCGCCACCAGCGTCGTGAACTGCGTTAGCATGTTCTTGAAGACGATCAGGATGAAGCCCAGGTTGGTTTAAATCGGTCAAAAGATAACCATGTGTATTATATATATGGTCAGTCATCTCTGAAGCGATCACACACAACTCTGAAACAGAGCGACCGAAGCGAGGTATCATGTCACTGAACCTGCAGGGATAAGCAAAACGCCTAAGAGCAACGCAAAGACCTTCCATCCCTGTTGCCACCGTCCGGTTGGGGCAAACAAACTTCTCCGGGATTCTCAAAGCTTCTGCCAAGACAGCTAGATCTGCCAAGTCCACTCTGAAGTCCGATCTGCATTCATCGTTGGTCATGTACTGCAGCTGCATCTCGACTTTTTGGTACTCCCAGTACTGAAATTCCGGTGATTTTGTTTTTGTATTGTCGTATAAAGCTACGAACTCCGATTCATCAATAATATCATTGACAAATAGAGCTGTAGTTGCATCAAAAAGCGAGTTATTGCTGACAGCCATAACAAAACTCGTACTCGTTGTCGCAATTCGTTTGTTTACTGCTAAAGCAACATTTGAACGGAAACGACTACGAGTACGACTTCCTCGTGCCAGGCCGCTAGCGGTCAAATTTCGTACTCGTAGTCGTACTCGTACTCCTTGCTAAAACTCTATAATCTCATCGAGAATACAACGCTTTTACAGGATAATCCATATTGTTATCCGCCGAACAAGTGAAAAGGCCTGTTTACGTTGTCCAGTTTATAGTCCGTAATACTCAATTATGGTGTTCCGCAGGGCTCAATTCTCGGTCCCATGTTATTTAACATATATATTAATTATTTACCGATGATACCAAATTATGGTTCTTTGAAGTCTTATGTTGATGATTCGAAACTACTTTAATTTGTCATTTCCGTCAATGAAGTGAACTCAGCGGTTGTTAAGCTTAACGAAGATCTACGAAGAGTCGCTTCTTGGTGTGCATTAAATAGTCTGCTCATTAATCCCAATAGGACGAAATTACTTGTGTTCGCAACTCGTTATATGCTGAAACAGATACCGGCAGATTTCCATATTTTTCTATTGGGGAAAAACTGTTTCCTGTGACTTCAGCCACCGATCTAGGCATGACACTGGATAGCGGTTTAACGTATGATGAACACATCAAAAAACTGGTTTCCTCTTGTGTCGGTAGCCTGTGTCAAATTAATAGAGCAAGGCACGTTTTTTATATGAAAGCGTAAATTATTTTAATAAACGCCTTGGTTTTTAGCAAGCTCTATTATTGTTCAACCATATGGTCCAATCCATCGAAGAAAAACATTGCAAAATTGTAAAAAGTTCAGAACTTCGCAGCACGTATTGTCACTGGCACAAAAAAATTTGATCACATCACGCCATCCTTAAAACAGCTTAACTGGTTGTCAGTCAATTATATGTTGCGATTCCAAGATACTGTAATGGTTTATAAATGTGTTGATGGTATGGTCCCATCATATTTATGTCGTATGCTTCAAACAAGATCACAATTACAAAATTTGAACACAAGATCTAACGGATTATTGGAAATACCTTTATCATAGGACAACGACCGGACAACGTTCTTTTCGCTACCGAGCTGCCTGTTTATGGAACAGTTTGCCAGAATGGTTAAAAAACCATAATTTCCATTTGGAACATTTTAAAATGAGCTACGAAGTTACTTGGTTGAACAATTTTTTGATGAACAGAAATGAATTACACCTTTTACGCATTAAATTTTAAATTAAATAGTATTAACAATAAGTATTTTACCCTAAATTATTATAAATAGCTTGATATTATATGTCGAAATTTTAGAGTAAATAGTATATTACATAGTTTTTAATATAATTTAATTATAATTTAATTAAGTAATTAAGTAAATTTTAATATAATTTAATTAAGTAATTACTTCTTATGACTTTTGTATTGAACACTGAAAAACCCTTTTGGGAGTGTTTCAGTAACAATAATAATAATATTGTCATGTTTTAATGTTAGATAGATGGACTTAGTATGGGATTCTAGTTTTGTTGTCCATGCAATGGGTATATGTGTTTTTTTCGCTGAGCCAACGGCGCGGAGCGCTGTTCCGGGCGTAAGCCCGGGGCGAGGATATTAATTCCGCCCGGCTATTTACACCAGGGAAACGAAAGCATTAGCGAAGTCTAAAGTTCATCAATAATCGTGGGCGTGGGTTACCGAGTTGAACAGTTTAATATAAATATCGGCAAAAAGTAGTTAATTTCAATTCACATTTAAAAACGTTTTATGTAGAGTTTTCGTTTTGAATTTTAAATTAAAATAAAGCCCATAGAAACCAAGATATATAATATACCTACTTTATATATTTTAGAAATTGATAGTTTTGTATATTTAAAAGTGTTCAAATTTCATCTATTTTTTGCAGGTTTGTATAAAAAATTTTAAAAAAATTATTGTGTTGCCATGACTAACATGACGTAGCATTAACGCGAGCCTGCGTTCAGTCACAGAATAAGGCACACAGAAGGTCAACTCCAGTAACCGCTGCCACGCCATGATTTATCATCAAAATGCTGACGCCATGGTCCTAGCCAGTGCGTGTTTGAGAGGCATTCCCCCCTGGACGTCCGCCATTTTGAATATTATCAGGGGGCGAACAGTGAACTATATACATGGAAGGCTGACTTCAGTCAGTGACGTAATCAAAAAGTGAAGCCAAAGATGGCGGAGTTTGAAGGCATTCTTGCGCGTCATTCTCAGTCCCCTTACGTGCGCGGCCAAACATTTTTTATATTTTCATGATAAATAGATAGATAGATAAACTTTATTTAGGCACACTAATCTCATTCAACATTGCTGATTTCCATGAGCAGTGTGCAATTGTTACAATTTTAAAACTAATTTACTAATACATACAAACTATTATTATATAAATGCTATTAAATATTCACTTAACTAAACTACTTAATTTAATAATTGATGGCGGGATGTGATGAGTCCCGCGACTCTCGGATTGTGTTTTTCTTCATTTTAGAGGAGCAAAACAGAAAATAAACTTCATTTATTTCATGTAAGGGGCGGGGGTGAAAATTCCCCCAAAAAAATTCGTGCAAAGAAAAATGCCTGGAAAAAAATTCGTGCAGACATTACGTCAGAGAAAAAAAATACGTGCAAACAAACAGCAAAGTACAAGTAGTCTTGAAAAAAAATTCGTGCAGAGGTTAAATGCATACCTAATTTTAGTGTGCAGTGATAACCAATTTGTGCAGTGATAAAAGTAAAATGTGCAGTGATAAAATGTAAAATGTGCAGTGATAAAATTTGCTTTGATAAGTTGTTAATTAACACAAGAGAATGATTTAATTGAAATTGAAATGATGACTGCCAAATTATCGAATTAAATAATATAGTCCGTATGTTGTGACCCGATATCGTTCACTTTCATTAAGCATGTCTTAGATCTGAAATATTTTTACGGGAACTAACACTTTCGAACACGCTGAGTTCAAATCGGAAAAGTTCCCACTCCGTAGACCCGCAGTTTTTTCACAAAATGCTATTTTATCTTCACTAATTTCACAACAAATTTTTTCATTGTTCAACGATACGGATCGATGACGATACACGATTATGTCACTCAAAAGGACCAATTTCTATTAACCATTCTTCCTTTTAACAAAAGACCGGTTTTGATCGAATCATTTTGAGTTATGTAATCTTATGCGTGTTTGACGTAAACAACATATCTTGTCTATAACCTTGAGAAGGTACAGATAGCGCTTTCTAAAATCCTCAGTTCTAGAGATATCTCTATAAAATCACAATGACGTTAATGTCAAGTCTTTTAGCTATGTCACTGGCCTGAAAAATAACTCTTTTAACGCGATCAAGATATTTAAAACAAAAGTAACACGAAGCCAACGTAACGGCAAAGATAACGCTAAAACGAAATATTGTCGAATGTTTGCAGGTAGAAGACTTACGACAGGATCAATCTTAAATAACCTTAAACTATAAGAATAAATGTTCACATCAAAGACAAAGATCAGTCACAAAGTATAAAATACGCTCTGTAAACTTACCGCGAAGTGGAGAAATGTGTGCATGCGCTGTTTATTTGATGATTTCGACGTATATAGAAGCCCTCTTTCCAATAATACTCGCTTATCGCACAGTATAACACCAACTGATGTAATAGTTCAAATGCAATGATAAGTTATGTCTTGAATTACGTCTTGGAAACCGTGTTGCAAATTTCAGTGATGATCCATTACATATAGATTACCGTTTTATATCTTTGTATAAAACATTTTGATCGCATGTAAGGAATTGTTTCTCAGCCCAGAGATATAGCCCAAAGACTTGACATTAACGTCCTTGTGATTTTATAGAAATAGATCCAGAACTAAGGATATTAGAAGGAATTATCTGTACCTTCTCAAAGTTGTAGACAAGATATGTTGTTTACATCCAACACGCATAAGATTACATAACTCAAAATGAATCGAGCGAAACCGGTCTTTTGTTTAAAGGAAGAATGGTTAATAGAAATTGGTCCTTTTGAGTGACATAATCGTGTATCGTCATCGATCCGTGATGTTGAACAATGAAAAATTTGTTGTGAAATTAGTGAAGATAAAATAGCATTTTGTGAAAAAACTGCGGGTCTACGGAGTGGGAGCTTTTCGAATTTGAACTCAGCGTGTTAGAAAGTGTTAGTTCCCGTAAAAATATTTCAGATCTAAGACATGCTTAGTTAAAGGGTATGGGCAATGAAAATTTCTTCATCTATCTTATTGCTTCATCTGAAAGAGCATGAAAAAATAAGCCGATTGGCCGTTTACTGCTCTATTCTATCTCATCTGGTTCCGAAGTTATAAGCAAAAATGTGCAAAATATAAATTGCTGATTCAGCACAATGTGTGACGTCATAAGCGGGGTAAGTCTGTTTATTGAATAGTAAACTAAAGCATAGCTGAGTGATTATTGGCTCAAATAAAATGAAATTTTGCATACAGATAGTACATGATGAGACGCATGGGAAAACACTTCTAATTTCGTTGTCAAGGCAACACAGTCGTTCCCAGGCCCCTTACACTGATTTTGAATAACTAGTTGCATTTCTCTATGTGTATGTCATTTTCGAATTATTATCATGCAAGTAAACTTTCGGC